TCTTGATCATCCAGTGGTCTCACTGGTTGTTTAGCAGGCTTCCTGCTTCTGATGTACTTAAAAAAAAAATTTGCTATTACTTTTTGAGTTTTGGCAAGCTGTTCTTCATATTATTTTTTGGTCTTCCTAATAATATTTTTACACTTCACTTTCCAGAGTTCACCTTTCGATTTTCCTCACTAGGATTTAACTTCCACTTTTTAAAGGATGCCTTTTTGCCTCTCACTGCTTCTTTTATTTTGTTGTTTAGCCACGGTGGCATTTTTTGGTCCTCTTGCTAGGTTTTTTAATTTCGGGTCTACATTTAAATTGAGTCTCTACCATGGTGTCTTTAAAAGGTTTCCATGCAGCTTGCAGGGATTTTACTTTTGGCACTGTATCTTTTAATTTCTGTTTAACTAACTTCCTCATTTGTGTGTAGTTCCACTTTCTGAAATTAAATGCTACCCTGTTGGGCTGCTATGGAGTTATCCCCACCACAGGGATGTTAAATTTAATTATATTATGGTCACTATTACCAAGCGGTCCAGATATATTCACCTCTTGGAATATAAGCACCTTTAGCATGCTAGCTTGATAAGACCTAGTTCCACTATGTGTCCTGGGAATCACACCCTCTGCTCCAAGTGTGGACATATGCTCTTTGCCTGCAGGCAAGTACGGCCAGAACACAGGGCTGCATTTAGACCTGGCCCTTGTGCAGACTATGAAAGTGGAGGAAATTTCTTTCCCTCTGTGCAACCATGTCAGGGAAATGCAGAATCTGGCCCTAACTGAGTTAGCAGGAGGGATTTTCTTTCAAAGTTTTCTTGTGATTGGCTTTCACACTGGAGTAGGGCTTAACTCCTGGATTTCTGATAACTGGAGTTGGTTAAAAATTTTGATGGAACATTTTTCCTTTGGAAAATGCCAGTTAGTCAAAATCAGAACTGCCCATGGGAACACAGATATTGACAAAATTTCATTTAAAAAAAAATGAAATGAAACTGTGATAGGGAGGCCCATCACAGAAGCATATCAATAAAGCTGAAATGTTCCATTTTTACCAAATCAAAACGGAACATTTCACATTTGGGTTTCAAATTGACTTTGCTTCAGATTATAAATATAAAATTTAAAAGTCAAAATCAGAACGAAATATTTCAGCTTTAACAAAGCATTTAGGTAAACTAAACACTTTTTTTTTAAAAAAAATAATTTTGCAAAGGAAATTGTTTGTTTTTGTTCTGATTAAGAATTAAAACAAATTTCAAAATCATGGCATTTCCCATGAAATGGATATTCTGGTTCCCACACAGCTTTACTGATAACATTATTGATTGGGTATATTCAAATAGATACTGGCTTTCTGGGGAAGATTTCAGTGTTGCCAATTCTCACAATTTTGTGACAAGTCTCAGGATATCTGATGCTTGTTTTAAAGCCCCACCTCCTGGAGCCATGTGATCTAAAGAGAATCTCAGCTTTCATTTAATAAAAAGAGTAAGTTTCTTGCCTTCATGGTTGCAGAGAAAAGCTTGAAACTATGACCCAAGTACACCCTAAAAGCACAAAACCTGAAAGGCAAATAAAAAGAACCCAGAATTTATTGTTTCAAAATACCTAACTCATGATTTTTGAATGCTTTGGGTTGGCAATACCGTTAATTAGAGGTCATAACCCTGCCCATGCCAGGAATGGACAAAGGTATAGATCCAGGCCAGGAAACAGATATTATAGTCCTACTCTCTAACAGTCTTTACAGTCAGTTTTCAAGCCCAGGTGGTGGAGTATCACCACAGCTCCCTCCTTGCCATTTTGACATTCTAGATCTACATCACAGAAAATCCTCCTAGCATAACTGACAGCTTCTTCTCACTAGAGGTCTGTGATTGAAAACAGTAGTAATTCTGTACGCCACCATTACCATACACTGACAGCACTTTGAAATGATCCGTGCATGGAAGGGTGACCACCTTTGTTGGATGGAAATAAGGGAAAACCACATGAAAAATAGGGGACAATGCTTTATTTTAAGGGACATTTATGGGGAATTCCATTTCCCTTAGCTTATCATGTGTTTGTCTCTCAAGTATATATTTCTACTGTCCTCAAATATACAATTCAATTACATAAGCTTCAATGGAAAATACAGTGGAGAAATTTTATATACACAGAGAACATGAAACAGTGGGTGTTACCATGCACACTGTAACAAGAGTGATCGAGTAAGGTGAGCTATTACCAGCTTGATGAATTCCACAATGATTTCAATAATTTCCATCCCACCATCAACCTCAGCCTGGACCAGTCCACACAAGAGATCCACTTCCTGGACACAACAGTGCTAATAAGCGATGGTCACATAACCACCACCCTATACTGGAAACCTACTGACCGCTATACTTACCTACATGCCTCCAGCTTTCATCCAGACCACACCACACAATCCATTGTCTACAGCCAAACTCTACGATACAACTGCAGTACAAAACAAAAAAGACAAAGAGCGTACAACCTAATTATTACTGAGTATATGATTGGAATGGATTACATTCATTTTGTCCTTAACACTGTCTGTTCCATAGATATAAAATGTTGTTGGTGTGTGTCTGAGTTTTATTTCCTTGAACATGACAATGAGACGGATAGTGCTGACTAAACACATGGCACCATGCAGGTAGGAGCCCATGTACTTGGGTGACTCTGATGGGATCCCCGGGGTAAAACTGTGGGACTGCTCTGCTCCCTTAACTCTCCAACCTGAGCTGTCTCTCACAATTCTATGCCAATGACAAGCAGCAAAGCCCTCCAGGCACTGTGATCACTCAGCCATTAGCATGTGGAGACCCAGGCCCAGATAAATTGAATGACGGCTCTCTAAACCACTCTTGAATTATACAGAGAGAGGCACCAGCAAATCACCCCAGCCTTGCATCCCAGAAATGTACTATCTTTCACTGCTCAAGACTCCCTGGCACTATGCAAGCTCATTAATTAATTCAGTACTCCAACAAAGGGTAGTGGACATACAACAGCTGAGATTCCCCAAGCACTTCAACCAAAAATACATCATTTTAGATAAAATATAAGACAGATTTATTAGCTTCAGAAAGATAATTTTAAGTGATTACAAGTAGCAGGCACAGAGATCAAAGTTAGTTACATAAGAAATAAAAATAAAATCACAGTCTAAATTCCACAGATGAAGCAAGATTTGAATTAAGCAGTTTCTCACCCCCACTGGATGTTTCAGGCAGTTTACAGTTCTTATTTCGCAGGTGAAATTTCCTTCTCAGCCTGGGACCACTCTCCCCAATTCAAAGTCTTTGTCTTCCAAATGATCTTCCAGGTGTTGAAATGGGGGAGGAGAGAGGCCAAGTGGTGATGTCATTGACCCTCATTTATATTTTCTCTCCAGGTGCTAGCAAGATCCATCAAAGCCTGTCTGGCCAATGATAGTTGCTCCTTTGTTGCCAGTGAAAGGCCAGGTGTGGGCATCTCCCAACTTCACAACATATTTCAGTAACACACACATAGCAAAACTTCATAACTTCCAATATAGTGGTAACACACATAATACAGGATAGTCTTGTTCTGTTGAACATTACTATTTAAAGGATACCTCACAAGATACACTTTGTACAAAACATATCATAATCATATTATGGTGATGAATATGGGATTCCAAGGTGCTATTTTGAGGTACAGAGTGTCACAATGACCACCTGTCCCTTATTTCAAGAGACTGCCCCTTAGTTCATTGATTTGTCCCTTGGGGTGACCACCCATCTCTTATTTTCCCACCACATATAATTAGAACAGGATTTAACGGAGACCACGAATTTTGCAAATTCCAAGAGGGATTGGATATTTATATGGGTAACATGAAATTTTAGAGTTATATTTCTCGATAAAAAAGGAAGTTTGGAACTGTTATTTCATGCTTCAGAGTTTAAATTAATCCCTAACTATTAAGGGCCTGGATGAGACCTTCATTGGGGGACAGATTATCCTTCATTTACCTGCTGTGGAATTTCTTTCACCTTCCTCTGAAACATCTTCTGCTGGCCACTGTTAGTGACAGGATATTAGACTAAATGGACCATGTGTCTGATCCACTGCAGTTCCTATATTCTTATTTATGCACACACACCTATGGGTGGAACAGGGGACACCTCAAGACACACCAAATAATGCATACACTTGATTTCACCAAGAAAACAAATGTGTGCATGTTATCAACAGATTAGAATAATGACCCTAACATTGTCTCTTCTGGATAGTTGAAGAGCTTTGGCTTGATTCTCTACTGCTTTGTTTCCCGTTAATCATTGACATTAGTTTCAAACGGATCTAAAATACAACCGTTGGTGTGAATGGAAAATCCTGATTTGGCAGCATTTTGTACATATATAAATGACGACACAGGCTGCAAAGCAATGGGGAATCATGCCCAGTGCCTCCAGACTAAATCCCTCTGTACTAAAACTACAATTTAACCCAAGGGCTCTCTCATACCCAAATACAATAAGCAATTCTTTTGCAAGGAGACATTAAGGCACTATTTCATATTCATGCCCAGAGATCACAGAATTAGTGACTCATTGCATAACAAGAAATAATTTTTATTTGACCATGTCTTTTGCTTCAAAATGCACCAGAGCCTCTCCAGATGGGTAGACGTTGATAAAAGTAGTTCTCATGGGTCAGCACAGAAATATCAAGTCTAATCCATGGACTATAAACACAGTAAATTAAAGAAACATATAATGGGGATGTAAAGAAAGAGAGGGAGGGGAGGGTGCACACACCCAACTTTCAAAAGCTTGTAGAGTTATTAAATTCAAGGAACTTTTTTTAGAGCATTGTAGTGCACTTTGCAATAATTATTGCATATATCTGAAACCTTAGACGGTCTAAAGAGACAAAAAGAAAAGGAGTACTTGTGGCACCTCAGCCCTGGTCTACACTAGGACTTTAGGTCGAATTTAGCAGCATTAAATCGATGTAAACCTGCACCGGTCCACACAATGAAGCCCTTTATTTCGACTTAAAGGGCTCTTAAAATCGATTTCCTTACTCCACCCCTGACAAGTGGATTAGCGCTTAAATCGACGTTGCCGGCTCGAATTTGGGGTACTGTGGACACAATTCGATGGTATTGGCCTCCGGGAGCTATCCCAGAGTGCTCCATTCTGACCGCTCTGGACAGCGCTCTCAACTCAGATGCACTGGCCAGGTAGACAGGAAAAGAACCGCGAACTTTTGAATCTCATTTCCTGTTTGGCCAGCGTGGCAAGCTGCAGGTGACCATGCAGAGCTCATCAGCACAGGTGACCATGATGGAGTCCCAGAATCGCAAAAGAGCTCCAGCATGGACCGAACGGGAGGTACGGGATCTGATCGCTGTTTGGGGAGAGGAATCCGTGCTATCAGAACTCCGTTCCAGTTTTCGAAATGCCAAAACCTTTGTCAAAATCTCCCAGGGCATGAAGGACAGAGGCCATAACAGGGACCCGAAGCAGTGCCGCGTGAAACTGAAGGAGCTGAGGCAAGCCTACCAGAAAACCAGAGAGGCGAACAGCCGCTCTGGGTCAGAGCCCCAAACATGCCGCTTCTATGATGAGCTGCATGCCATTTTAGGGGGTTCAGCCACCACTACCCCAGCCGTGTTGTTTGACTCCTTCAATGGAGATGGAGGCAATACGGAAGCAGGTTTTGGGGACGAAGAAGATGATGAGGAGGAGGAGGTTGTAGATAGCTCACAGCAAGCAAGCGGAGAAACCGGTTTTCCCGACAGCCAGGAACTGTTTCTCACCCTAGACCTGGAGCCAGTACCCCCCGAACCCACCCAAGGCTGCCTCCTGGACCCAGCAGGCGGAGAAGGGACCTCTGGTGAGTGTACCTTTTAAAATACTATACATGGTTTAAAAGCAAGCATGTGAAAGGATTACTTTGCCCTGGCATTTGCGGTTCTCCTAGATGTAGTCCTAAAGCCTTTGCAAAAGGTTTCTGGGGAGGGCAGCCTTATTGTGTCCTTCATGGTAGGACACTTTACCACTCTAGGCCAGTAACACGTACTCGGGAATCATTGTAGAACAAAGCATTGCAGTGTATGTTTGCTGGCATTCAAACAAAATCCGTTCTTTATCTCTCTGTGTTATCCTTAGGAGAGTGAGATATAATTCATGGTCACCTGGTTGAAATAGAGTGCTTTTCTTCAGGGGACACTCAGAGGAGCCCATTCCTGCTGGGCTGTTTGCCTGTGGCTAAACAGAAATGTTCCCCGCTGTTAGCCACAGGGAGGGGGGAAGGTTGAGGGGGTAGTCACGCGGTGGGAGGAGGCAAAATGCGACCTTGTAACGAAAGCACATGTGCTATGTATGTAATGTTAACAGCAAGGTTTACCCTGAAAGAGTGTAGCCACTGTTTTATAAAATGTGTCTTTTTAAATACCGCTGTCCCTTTTTTTTTCTCCACCAGCTGCATGTGTTTCAATGATCACAGGATCTTCTCCTTCCCAGAGGCTAGTGAAGCTTAGAAAGAAAGAAAAACGCACTCGCGATGAAATGTTCTCCGAGCTCATGCTGTCCTCCCACACTGACAGAGCACAGACGAATGCGTGGAAGCAAATAATGTCAGAGTGCAGGAAAGCACAAAATGACCGGGAGGAGAGGTGGCAGGCTGAAGAGAGTAAGTGGCAGGCTGAAGAGAGGGCTGAAGCTCAAATGTGGTGGCAGCGTGATGAGAGGAGGCAGGATTCAATGCTGAGGCTGCTGCAGGACCAAACCAGTATGCTCCAGTGTATGGTTGAGCTGCAGCAAAGGCAGCTGGAGCACAGACTGCCACTGCAGCCCCTCTGTAACCAACCGCCCTCCTCCCCAAGTTCCATAGCCTCCACACCCAGACGCCCAAGAACACGGTGGGGGGGCCTCCGGCCAACCAGCCACTCCACCACAGAGGATTGCCCAAAAAAAAGAAGGCTGTCATTCAATAAATTTTAAAGTTGTAAACTTTTAAAGTGCTGTGCTTAAAGTGCTGTGTGGCATTTTCCTTCCCTCCTCCACCACCCCTCCTGGGCCACCTTGGTAGTCATCCCCCTATTTGTGTGATGAATGAATAAAGAATGCATGAATGTGAAGCAACAATGACTTTATTGCCTCTGCAAGCGGTGATTGAAGGGAGGAGGGGCGGGTGGTTAGCTTACAGGGAAGTAGAGTGAACCAAGGGGCGGGGGGTTTCATCAAGGAGAAACAAACAGAACTTTCACACCGTAGCCTGGCCAGTCATGAAACTGGTTTTCAAAGCTTCTCTGATGCGTACCGCGCCCTCCTGTGCTCTTCTAACCACCCTGGTGTCTGGCTGCGCGTAACCAGCAGCCAGGCGATTTGCCTCAACCTCCCACCCCGCCATAAACGTCTCCCCCTTACTCTCACAGATATTGTGGAGCACACAGCAAGCAGTAATAACAGTGGGAATATTGGTTTCGCTGAGGTCTAAGCGAGTCAGTAAACTGCGCCAGCGCGCCTTTAAACTTCCAAATGCACATTCTACCACCATTCTGCACTTGCTCAGCCTGTAGTTGAACAGCTCCTGACTACTGTCCAGGCTGCCTGTGTACGGCTTCATGAGCCATGGCATTAAGGGGTAGGCTGGGTCCCCAAAGATACATATAGGCATTTCAACATCCCCAACAGTTATTTTCTGGTCTGGGAATAAAGTCCCTTCCTGCAGCTTTTGAAACAGACCAGAGTTCCTGAAGATGCGAGCATCATGCACCTTTCCCGGCCATCCCACGTTGATGTTGGTGGAACATCCCTTGTGATCCACCAGAGCTTGCAGCACTATCGAAAGCACTTGCGGTTTATGTACTCGGCGGCTTGGTGCTCCGGTGCCAAGATAGGGATATGGGTTCCGTCTATAGCCCCACCACAGTTAGGGAATCCCATTGCAGCAAAGCCATCCACTATGACCTGCACATTTCCCAGGGTCACTACCCTTGATATCAGCAGATCTTTGAGTGCGTGGGCTACTTGCATCACAGCAGCCCCCACAGTAGATTTGCCCACTCCAAATTGATTCCCAACTGACCAGTAGCTGTCTGGCGTTGCAAGCTTCCACAGGGCTATCGCCACTCGCTTCTCAACTGTGAGGGCTGCTCTCATCTTGGTATTCATGTGCCTCAGGGCAGGGGAAAGCAAGTCACAAAGTTCCATGAAAGTGCCCTTACGCATGCGAAAGTTTCGCAGCCACTGGGAATCGTCCCAGACCTGCAACACTATGCGGTCCCACCAGTCTGTGCTTGTTTCCCAAGCCCAGAATCGGCATTCCACAGCATGAACCTGCCCCATTATCACCATGATGCATGCATTGGCAGGGCCCATGCTTTCAAAGAAATCTGTGTCCATGTCCTGATCACTCACGTGACCGCGCTGACGTCGCCTCCTCACCCGGTATCGCTTTGCCAGGTTCTGGTGCTGCATATACTGCTGGATAATGCGTGTGGTATTTAATGTGCTCCTAATTGCCAAAGTGAGCTGAGCGGCCTCCATGCTTGCCTTGGTATGGCGTCCGCACAGAAAAAAGGCGCGGAACGATTGTCTGCCGTTGCTCTGACGGAGGGAGGGGCGACTGATGACACGGCTTACAGGGTTGGCTTCAGGGAGCTAAAATCAACAAAGGGGGTGTCTTTACATCAAGGAGTATTTCAGGCAGGACTTCACGGAGGGTTCCAATAAGAAATGGTGCACCTAAGTTATCGTTCTTATTGGAACAAGGAGGTTAGCCTGGCCTCTGATTGATACATGGCTAGATTTACCTCGCTGCACCTTCTCTGTGAGTGACTGCAGTGTGACCTAGAGGAATGAGTCCCCTAGACAGGAGAGGAGGCAAATGAGTACAAAACAAATCTGGTCTATTTCTTGTTTTGACCCACTCCATCTATCTTTTACATCTTTGGCTGGCAGCAGACGGTGCAGAAGGACTGCATGCCATCCACATCTCATGGCTGCTCGGCAGAAGATGGTACAATACGACTACTAGCAATCCTCATCTCTTGCCTGCCTGGCAGAAGATGGTACAGTACGACTGCTAGCAGTCCGTATCGCCTGCCCGCTCACCATAAGATGGTTCAAAAGGACTGACTGCAGGACTAAAGAGAATGACCTGGTCAAGTCACTCCAAATTTAGTCCCTGCGCCCATGTCTGCCCAGGCGCTCCCAGCCGACGTGGCCAGGAGCACCTCGGACACAACGAGGACGACTACCAGTCGTATTGCACCGTCTGCTGCCAGAAGGCAATGGGTTGCTGCTACTGTGTAGCAAAGCCGTACCGCGTCTGCCAGCACCCAGGAGACATAGGGTGACGGTTACCTGAGCGGGCTCCATGCTTGCCGTGGTATGGCGTCTGCACAGGTAACTCAGGAAAAAAGGCGCGAAATGATTGTCTGCCCTTGCTTTCACGGAGGGAGGGAGGGAACGGGGGCCTGACGATACGTACCCAGAACCACCCGCGACAATGTTTTAGCCCCATCAGAGTGCTCCATTGTGACTGCTCTGGACAGCACTCTCAGATGCCCGATTGTTTGCCGTTGCTCTGGCGCCGGGAGGGGCGACTGAGGACACGGCTTACAGGGTTGGCTTCAGGGAGCTAAAATCAACAAAGGGGGTGGCTTTACATCAAGGAGTATTTCAGGCAGGACTTCACGGAGGGTTCCAATAAGAAATGGTGCACCTAAGTTATCGTTCTTATTGGAACAAGAAGGTTAGCCTGGCCTCTGATTGACAAATGGCTAGATTTACCTCGCTGCACCTTCTCTGTGAGTGATTGCAGTGTGACCTAGAAGAATGAGTCCCCTAGACAGGGGAGGGGGGGAAGCAAATGAGTACAAAACAAATCTGGTCTATTTCTTGTTTTGATCCACTCCATCTATCTTTTACATCTTTGGCTGGCAGCAGACGGTGCAGAAGGACTGCATGCCATCCACATCTCATGGCTGCTCGGCAGAAGATGGTACAGTACGACTGCTAGCAGTCCGTATCGCCTGCCCGCTCACCATAAGACGGTTCAATAGGACTGACTGCAGGACTAAAGAGAATGACCTGGTCAAGTCACTCCAAATTTAGTCCCTGCACCCATGTCTGCCCAGGCGCTCCCAGCCGACGTGGCCAGGAGCACCTCGGACATGACGATGACGGCTACCAGTCGTACTGTACCGTCTGCTACCACAAGGCAAGGGGTTGCTGCTACTGTGTAGCAATGCCGTACCACGTCTGCCAGCACCCAAGAGACATAGGGTGACGGTTATCTGAGCGGGCTCCATGCTTGCCGTGGTATGGCACCTGCACAGGTAACTCAGGAAAAAAGGCGCAAAACGATTGTCTGCCCTTGCTTTCACAGAGGGAGGGAGGGAACGGGGGCCTGACGATATGTACCCAGAACCACCCGCGACAATGTTTTAACCCCATCAGGCATTGGGATCTCAACCCAGAATTCCAATGGGCAGCGGAGACTGCGGGAACTGTGGGATAGCTACCCACAGTGCAACACTCCGGAAGTGGACTCTAGCCTCGGTACTGTGGAAGCACTCCGCCGAGTTAATGCACTTTGAGCATTTTCTGTGGGGACACACACACTCGAATATATAAAACCGATTTCTAAAAAACCGACTTCTATAAATTCGACCTTATTCCGTAGTGTAGACATACCCTTAGAGACTAACCAATTTATTTGAGCATAAGCTTTCATGAGCTACAGCTCACTTCAATGGATGTTAGTCTCTAAGGTGCCACAAGTCCTCCTTTTCTTTTTGCGAATACAAACTAACACGGCTGTTACTCTGAAACCTGTCTAAAGAGACAGTTTGTATCCCCAATACAATTAATTACCCCATTTTAATTTCCAAGTGATAGAAAGCAGTTTCATTTACTCATTTTATTTTTTAAATGTTTTGAGAGCTTGCTGGTGTTAGCACTTTTGAACTATATGTGTGGCTCAGCATTTCTGCAGGTTAATCATGTCCTGAAGGTGACAGAATTTCCTTTTCTTTTCCAAAATTACATATGCATTATTGCAAATGAGTTCTGCCATAAAGGAATTCATAATGAAAACATCAGAGGGAATTAAAGTGCTTCTTAGAATACTTGAGCTTGCTCCCTTAATATGAGGGCAGAAAGAATTGAGTCATTATGTTCCCATATGGCATTTGGGATTGAATGGGCAGCCCCTTCTCAACATGATGTGTTTTTTTCCTTAAAGTATTTTTACTAGGGGGTCAGATCTAGGGGCAGACAATCCATACTGGTTAATTGAAGTCCCCAAGTAATATCTTAATTCAAGTTTAAAGTCTTCATGCACAAAGACAGCAGGTCATTGTTAAGTAGCAAGAGAAGCAGAAAGATTAAAAATGTACACAATGAATGACTTTAAGATGAAAGTGGAAGAACATAAGCATTTTTTACTTTAAAATAATTTCAGCAATTTATTTTTTGGCTTTTCAGAGTTCTGTCTTCTCCTATCCACACACTTGACTTTGTTTCACACTCATTGGTGGAAAGGTATCTGAAACTAACAGATACAGTAATATTTATCATAGGGTCCAATCGTGCCATTGTTTTGTGCATGTTTCATACTGAAGACAAGGGGAAGTTAGAGTGTAATATTTATTTGTACTCCAGTAACACCTAGACCAGACAAGAACTGCATAGTGTGAGGTGCTGCAGTCCATTAGGGCTACTAGAGATATATTTTCCTTATTTTGGCACATTGTATGTCAAGCATTGTAGTTTATTCTATTTATTGTCCAGAACACCTGTAAAATACAATATAAGCAGAGTTCATTTTTTCTTCTTTGGTCTTCTTAAGGGTTTTCCAAAACTTATTCAAAGACTATTTTTATTTAAATAATTTAAGTTGAAAAACTTCCTACGCTTATATATTTCAAGACATTAGGATGTAAAGTTAATGACTGAAATGTATCTTAATCACATCGAGTGTTTTAAAATATTCAAAACCTAATTTTAACTGATTACAGGATATCAAACATTTGTTGTATGATCACTGTTTGATCATGGTTCAGTTTCCTAATCTACTAGAATGCATATTGATGGGAGATTTTTTTGCGGGGGGGGACAGAGGGGAAGGTTGGTTGTACACAGAATATTTTGTTATACCTGTTCTGTCCTTTTAAGTGTTTAAGCAACACTCCTCCCTAATGCTAAATCGTACTTTCATGTTGGTTTCATGAATAAAGTCACCACGGCAGACAACTGCGGGGAGCCATGCCTGCGGACAGTCGGCATCAGCAAAATATCTCATAGCCCACAATCAGATTACCCTGATGGGCCGCAGGTTGCCCGCCATTGGACTAGTCAGAGGTCAGTGCCATTTGGATGACATCCTTGTTACAGGAAAGTATCAAGATGATCTTCAAAATTTGGTTGCTGCCTTGCAACGTTTGGAAGACCATGGACTGAGAATATATTAAAACAAAAGTGAGCATTTCAGAATTTTCAGTTGAATACCTTGGGCATGTAATTAATGCCACAGGCTTAAGGAAATTGTCAGAGAAAGACAAGGTGGTTCT